GATTGATTAAGATGTACAGAAGAGTAGTAGGGGAGTTGAATGGTATAGGTAGAAATTCGTCACATCTAGACTCACTCAGACAGCCGCCACACGCGCGGAAAAGCACTGTACGTCCCCTGTAGCTCAGTGGTCTCAGCCGCGGTCTGGCAACAGTCGAGATGCGGGTTCGAGCCCTACCAAGGGTCCGATGGAATGCGCACTGCTGATGATTCCCGAAAGGATGAAACGCGCGTACAGTGCTTTTCCGGGCGTGTGGCGGCTGTCTTAGTGAGTCTAGATGTGACGAATTTCTACCTGATTAAAATGTCTTAGCTTCAAGAAGATCGTTCTATCTTTTGCAATGCGTAAGTCTGTAACATTCATTTTTGTTACTTTGGGTACAAGGTGGCCACGAAGTCCTTGGTCATGGTTCATAACTGATGTTGTTTTGCAATACTATTTATTATTTAATATTTGCTCATTTACCATATTTATAGCGTAAATGTACGATAGCTCTGCCTTTCTTTTTTCAGGCATTCATTCGCAAAATGACCGACACAAGTCCCTACTCCATTGAAGAACGATTCATAGCTGCTGTTTGAGTACATCATCGGGTGCTAGAAATCAGAACAATGACTGACGTTTCCACCAAATTCCAGGAGCGTTTCATGAAGCCTGCAGGAAGGAAGGACACATTGTTGGCATGGGAGAAGCAATGTTTGCATCTGGAGCTGTGCTGGATACCCCTCGCGCTGGATGCCCTGTCTCCCGAATAGAGCACGTGGAAATCATAAACTTTTCAATTCTTCAAAGAAATCGACACGTAAGAGGTCCGCTGAATTGCATATTCCCCGTTCCACACTCTAAAAAGTACTCAAAACTAACTTAGGCGTGTCAGCATTCAGGCCAATATAGGTCAATGAACTGTCTGATATTGATCTACAGAATCGGATGGAAGCGTGTCAACACCTCCAGGAATTCCCTACAAAAACCAGTCATCACAATGTCTTTATTTATGAATGTGTTGTCTATCTCAGCTCATGATCACGAAATGTTTACATTTGGAGCAAGATTAACCCATACTATGCTGAAGAAATCGCCCACAACCCACCGCACGTCATGATTTGGGCGGCAGTGTCAGCTACCAAAATCTTTGGGCCATTTTTTCGAAAACTCAGTGAATCAGTTCACCTACTAAGAAATGTTGGGGACCTGGTTCATTCCACAGTTGGTTTCAACTTTAATCATGCATGTAGCCATTCTGCAACAAGATGATTCTCCTGCACATTCTGCTATCTCGGTGCGCCGGTTCCTGGATGATAATTTCCCTGGCCGGTGGATTGGATGTGCATCACAGCATCAATGGTCAGCTCGCAGTCCTGACCTCTCATCATGCGACAATGTGTTGTGGGGCATTATTAAAGAATACATCAGAAAAACATGTTACAACAACACAGGAAAACTTAAAGCTCTAATCCTTGCTTCATTGGACTCGATTTCCCCTGATGTTCTACAACGCATCTCAGCACGCACTTGTAGACGCATCGGCTATGTGCTGAGAATGACGGTAAACACTCAGACACATTGAACCCATGACAGTGTGGTCATAGGCTAGCACATGTTTGTTTCAATGAATTTTCTTGATCAGCGAAGAGCCCTTCTTTTCCTAGACAAGTATCATGTGCAATATTTTACATTTATACACTGATTTACGTAGGTATAAGCATAAACGTGGAGTGTCCGGGGACTTTGTTGCCACCCTATACATAACCCCAAGTCAGGGCTTACAGCAAATTGCCAAGGCAGGAAAATGTCCCGGTAGAATACGGAAACAGTAAACCGGAATAAACGATTCTATGGACCGAGGGTAACCAAGTTGGTCATTGTGTTTGTGTGTAGGCTTTAGGTAGGAGGGTCGACACATATACGTGTCATACACGCTGTGTCCCGCGTATGGTGGAGACACACATATCCCAACTGTCGAACTATGAAAGACCCGGGATCTTTAGGTGCCTCGACGTAACAGAAAAAATAAATCCGCGGTTGTGCAAAGTCACTGGATTGTACCTAATGTTCAATACTTGGAGAAATTGTGACCTCGCACATCTGGAGATCGCCTCAGCTTGCGAATCGACACCACATTTGTATCGTTTCTGTATGTAGTTCCGTCCCATGTGGTCTGCTTCACAGATAGCAATGTCCATAACATAAGCGGTATAATAACCTATGTGAAGTAGATGTTATTTGAGCTCTTCTGTGTGGATGCGCCTGATGTGACTGTTGACACGGTGCCTACCTGTCTATTACCCACTACCTCGTCCATACTGGCTGCAGGCGACAGTTGCTCTTTGCTGGAGGGGACGGGATGCACCGTCTTCGTGACGGTGCTAGGCTCAATGACTGGTTCCATCCTGTGTGAAACGGGCTACGGTCTAGCCACCCCCATATATACGTCTGGTGTGCATAATTTCCCAATTGGGCCGGAATGCTTCTGTTTTGCTTGTTGAAGGAGTGTGGGTCGGCTCCGTTGTTGAAACATGGCTCCCATCCACATGCTTCCCGATCTTATTCCTTCGGGTTTACACCGGATATGGGGTGTGTGAGTGGTGCAGCGCAAGCCACCCATGGTCCGTTTGTAGGCGCGGGCGCCCCGTGGCTGTACCCATGGAAGTCACAGTAAACGGCAAATCCGGATACCGATGCCGCCAATTCTCAATAGCCTATGGTGCGCTGAGGTTTGTGGTGACTAGATCCTGACCCAATGTGCTGACAATAATGCTTCCTAAAAGAGAGCCTTATCGCGTATGCTTACATGATGGCTTTGGGTTTAATTCAGATGGCATTGCGATTTGACCGGTGGCCACCTCGAGCCTTAAACAGGTGCACGGAAGCGCACACATCCGTTGCATGACTGCATGTTTAAGCTGCGGATGAGGCTTTGCGTCATCCGTTGATCAAAAAGCATCTCGTAGGTCAGCAAAAATCTCTGGTGACCATACGGCTAGTAAATGATAAAACATGGTTTATTCGTGTGATATTGCGAAGAGCAAACTGTACATGGACCTGAGTACATCATATCTGTGGGTCATGGTGCCAAAACGTGGTTCACAGAAACTAGGCTAATGTTTAGTAGTGAGAAGTGTGCAAAATCAGCCTAGTGTGATGGAACAGCCATAATGTTCTATGCAAAAATTAAACAGCCAAATGTCAGGATAGTACGATGTGTTTCAACTCTTGGTCACCAGTTATTAGTGCTGCTTGAAGCGTGGCTAGTTACAAAAGCAGTAGGCTAGGCACTAATATAAATGCTAATAATGTACAGCCAATAAGGCTACACAAATGAGAGCCTTATCGTGTGTGCTTGCATGATGGCTGTGAGTCCACTACAGATGACACTGCGATTACGACGATGGCAATGTCGAGGTTTGAGCATGTGGACGGAAGCGCACACGTCCGTTGTCCGGTCGTTCGAGTGATGTGTTGTTGTGCGTTGATGTGACATGTATATCAAAGTGAATGAGAGCTAAGTGCATTCCCAATTGTCTATGTTTGTCATGTGCTTCGACGCTGGCGTGGTGATGTGCCGAGGTCAAAATCCTGTTTTGACAGCGTGCATATCACGTGGCGTGTGATTGGGCTTTGCCGTTTAGGTGAATGAAAGTCGCACGCACATAACTTACCTTCCTCCTAGTGAAAGTGTGCATATGTTGGGATGGTAAATTTCTGATTAGGTTGTATAGCTGTTTTCAGTTGGCGACCTATCAGTCAGGCCAATGCACCCGTCTTTCGGATCGAGTGACACGTGTTGTTTCCTTGTTGGAGGCATCAGTTTGTGGGGTTACCATTGGAGGCGTCGGTGACCTTTTGTTCATGGAGGCTTGGATGTTATCTGCTGGTATGGATTTCAAAAATCGATATAAGCAGCTTTCAAGCGGTTATTGTTTACAGTGTCCGTTCTATTGTGCTGCTGGTCAGTGAACTGTTTAGCATGAGGTGTAACAACAACAAATTGACTCATATACGTTGGTTGTAAAGATTGTTTATCGCGGTCATTACGAATGAAAACATGAGTGCACGAAGAGAGCTCAAGGTGAACGTATGATGATTTCACTGAACTCGTGGGTGCGCAATAATGAGCTTGGCTCATGTGATACCGCAGTTTAGTAACGTAAGTGAAGGGGTAATGTTACTGTTGGCTACTGGGGTAAAAAATTGACCATGGTTGCGTAATGTGCTTCGGAACACCAGTTCTTCAGATGGACATTGAAGGGTTGATCGAAACATTGTACGCAAATGTAGTAAAATCATCGGAAGTCCGGTGAGTCGGATCAGCGTGAGCTTTGATCGCAATTTTTAAGTGTCGATGAAAACGTTCGACTAAACCCTTCGCTTGGGGATATGCTGTGGTGCGGATCCATTTGCAGTCCAATAGTTCCATCAGTTGTTGGAAATGCTGGGACTCGAATTGTGAACTGCGGTCAGTGGTGATATAAGAAGGAACGCCGAAACTGGCTATCCATCTGGTGACAAGAGCGCGGGCGATGGTTTCTGCAAGCGTTTCTGCCATGGGATGGCTTCGGGCCATCGAGTGAAACGGTCCATGCATGTCAGGATGTATGAATTATTACTGGAATAAGTTAGGGGTCCGACGAGACCGATTTGGATATGGTCGAATCTGCCTTCTAGTTGTGCAAAAGTTCCGATGTCCGATTGAGTATACCGAATGACTTTCGGATCTTGACATGCTTAGCAATTCTTTGCCCGTGTGCGAATGTCTTTGTTCATGTTCGGTCATACAAAGCGTTCGGAGATCAGTTTGACAGTTACACGTATGCCGGGAGGCGAGACGTTATGAAGTGTCTCGAGAATCATTCTGCTCGTGGATACAGGAACTAATGGTCTTGGGATTGCGTGGAAACACCGCAATCAGTCGTACCTGGGGTAGTGTGTAGAGGCACTGACTGGATGTCCAGTGAAAGCTGTTTGTAATTCAGCTGCGGCTGAGATGGTTCTTTTTGCAGTTGAGCCATGCGTTCCAGATTGATAGAAGTCATGCCCACTAATTCTACTTTCAGGCGTGACAGTGTATCCGCGACAATGTTATCTCGTCCAGGAATATGGCAAATATCATTGATGTACTGTGAAATGAAATCTAGCTGACATACTTCACAGGGGAGTACTTATCTGGCTTAGCCTGTGCAGCGAATGACAAAGGCTTATGACCGGTCAACACTACGGACTGTCGTCCTTCCAGAAGATGTCGAAAGTGTCGGATGCTTGCGTATATGACGAGTAACTCACGACCAAAAGTACTATATCGAGCTACGGCTAGTGTGAGCTTATAGGAGAAAAATCCAAGTGGTTGTTGGACTTTATCGACGGTCTGTTGCAAGACAGCTCCGATAGATGTATTAGACACATCAACGTTTAACGGCAGCGGAGCATCGGGTTGCAGGTAGAAAAGTATCATGGTATCAGCTAGAGTAGATTTGACTTCGAAAGCTTGCAGTTGAGTCAGTGAAATGGAACTACTTGGGCTCACCAGCTAACAAGTTCGTGCGTGGAGATAACATGTGTTGCGGCGTTTGTAATGAAACGGCCATAATAGTTAAGCATGTCTAAGAAGCGTTTCAACTATTTCATGGAAGTGTGTGTGGGAAAGTTTCCTATGACATTAAGATTTTCTGCGGTTGGCGAAATGCCAGTGCTCTCAATGGTGTGACCAAGAAAGTTCAAAGAGGATGAACCAAAGACACACTTGTTGCTATTAATAACCACTCCGTACTTGATTAGACGTGTAAATAAGATTTTTGTGTTTCAAGTGTTCACTTTCGTTAGCACTTGCAATCAAAATATCATCAAGGTAAGCAAAGATAACAGGTGGGCCTGAAAGTGCCTGATCAATAACATGTTGAAATGTTTGTTCAGCGTTGCGTAAACCAAACGGCATTCGTACAAATTCGTACAAACCGACTGATGTTGTGATAGCTGTCTTATACATATCATCAGGATGAATAGGGTTGTGGTGATAAGCGCGCATGTGTGAAAAAATAGTACATCCAAGAAGATGAGGAGAAAATCTTGTATGTGTGGAATGGTGTACCTATCAGGAATGGTGCTGCGCCTAAGTGCTCTGTACTCGCCACATGGTCTCCAATCGGATGCTGTCTTTTTTGCTACCATATGCAACGATGATGCCCACATGCTTTGAGATAATCGAATTTTTCCTAACTGGAGCATGCGTTGAAACTCATCCTTAGCTATTTTCAATCTTCCGAAATGTAGTGGTCGCGGATGGGAGGAGACTGGAGTACCACTGGTAGTGATGTGGTACCATATAGAATGTGTGATATTCGGCTGATGAAAGTTGGGTTTTCATAGATCCTGTGTGACCAGGAACGAGAAGCTGCGTGTAGAAATCTAGCAAACGGTGGCTTCGTAGACCCACTAACAAGTTGAAATGTGTCAGGGAATCCGCTCTTAATATTAGTTGATGTACATCTGTGATAATGAATATCCAACTGAATTTTCGCCGTAGACCAAGGCTGAGTAGTAAGGTTCGTTGACCGTAAGTTTTAATGCTGGTCCTCTTAACTGCTTAACATCGAGGATGGAGTGCGGTTAACAGAAGAGCCGGTTGGAGGTATTACGCTGATGTCAGCACCATTATCGACAAGAAAACGGAAACCGGTGGTCTGATCTAGGACAGTGAGTCGGCGAGAGTTGGGTTACGGTTGGCCAAGGACGGTGCACGCCTCTATCGTCTGGTCTGTTCGTTTCCCGACAGCGGGAACTCTGGTGACTGTGTTTGACGGACGGAGCAGGGTTTAGTGCATCTACGAGCCAATTACCCGAAATGACCATGGTACCAACAAGTGGTTGAAATATGTGATGAAAAAGGGGTTCATGTTCTGGCGTCGTGTTCGTCGATTTAACCGATGTTCAGCTATCTGTTTAGCCACATCGTCCAGACGGCCGTTAGTCGAGTTTGGTAGACTCTGCGTTTCAACGGCGTGGATGTCAGTTGTACTAGGCTGGATTAGATAAACATTGTCAGCGATGCTAGCGAGTTGCGTCAGGGGAACACTGTTAGAGTTGTTGGCTAGGATAGCTTGTACCTGCGTAGGTAGACGACTCAGAAATAGTTGCCTAAATGACGCGTCATCCAGTTTGCCATCACCTAATATACTGTGAAGACGTCTTAAGAATTGGGAAGGAGTCCCTCCGTCAAGTGATTCGCTGCTACTCAATTGCTCGAGACGTTTGTGTTCAGAAACGGTGGTTCGTTGAATGACTGTATGTTTAAACTGCGACTAAGGCTTTGCGTCATCCGTTGATCAAAAAGCATCTCGTAGGTCAGCAAAAATCTCTGGTGACCATACGGCTAGTAAATGATAAAACATGGTTTATTCGTGTGATATTGCGAAGAGCAAACTGTACATGGACCTGAGTACATCATATCTGTGGGTCATGGTGCCAAAACGTGGTTCACAGAAACTAGGCTAATGTTTAGTAGTGAGAAGTGTGCAAAATCAGCCTAGTGTGATGGAACAGCCATAATGTTCTATGCAAAAATTAAACAGCCAAATGTCAGGATAGTACGATGTGTTTCAACTCTTGGTCACCAGTTATTAGTGCTGCTTGAAGCGTGGCTAGTTACAAAAGCAGTAGGCTAGGCACTAATATAAATGCTAATAATGTACAGCCAATAAGGCTACACAAATGAGAGCCTTATCGTGTGTGCTTGCATGATGGCTGTGAGTCCACTACAGATGACACTGCGATTACGACGATGGCAATGTCGAGGTTTGAGCATGTGGACGGAAGCGCACACGTCCGTTGTCCGGTCGTTCGAGTGATGTGTTGTTGTGCGTTGATGTGACATGTATATCAAAGTGAATGAGAGCTAAGTGCATTCCCAATTGTCTATGTTTGTCATGTGCTTCGACGCTGGCGTGGTGATGTGCCGAGGTCAAAATCCTGTTTTGACAGCGTGCATATCACGTGGCGTGTGATTGGGCTTTGCCATCTGTGAATACAAATTGCAATTCCGGAAACGTTTTGAGAAAGTGGCAAAGGACCTAACAGAATTTCGTTCCTGTCGCAGCACCATCGATATGATGCGTGCGACTTGTGGGTTTCAGTATAAGTGCAAATGTCGGCACCCGCCGTTGTACTCTCTCTTTGGTGATTTTACCAATCATTTGATACGGTGAACCTCGACGCATTGTGGCTGGGGTTGGTTATGTTTGCTTGTTCGGATATATTTGTTAAGTATTAATGAATGTGAATACAACGGTATTCGGGCGAGGGTACAGCTTGTGGATAGACCTCGGATGACTTTGCAGTTGTCTCTAGTGTGAAGCAAGACTATCATAACTACTGCCCTGTTTAACATCTTACTTCATGCCATGATGTTTTTGCTTTTGATACCGCTTGTACTTACGGTGTTCCTGTGGAGCGCCGTATTGATGATGGTTTGCTGAACTTCCGTCATTTTGGTACGAGAACCCTAATCTGTGAGACAACTATCCATATGTTGCTGTTTACTGACGACTGCGTTGCTCTCCTATCCTGCTGGAAATTGCTAAATATTCCACAGTGAAAATGCGCAAGAGATAGTACAGTTCTTGTCTTCACGAGATCTTGTACCCACGAATGGGCACACGTTACCTTACAAACCGTGCACACATAGACGCTGGAGTTCAGACGAGTGTATCATTCTGAGCACCAACTGTTTTATTTGATGATATACATGACAAAAAGTAGGCCAACATGGGAATCCTACATCGTTACTTGGTAATGAAGCACCCATATTGCAGCACCACTTCAAGCACTAGTGTTACAGCAACGGCGAGAAGAATTATCGCGTACGGTGTTTGGACGTAATACATTTACAAATATGCTGTGCTCTTGATACCTGACAAATAGCTGCTTTTACCTTGATGCTTACAGCTCCTTTTTGTTGCCTAAGGAGTTAAAATGTACTTCCTTACACATGGAAGGTTGCGCTGGAGTTGGAGTTAAAACTGCGAATATATATACTAACTGCTGCACGTAAACAGCGGGTCTGTTTAGGCGTCCATGATGACATAAACTAACCACAACTCGTGCTAGAACGACTCCGATGCCTTTAGTTGCTGCGGTGGATCTTCCCATTTGCAATGTATGTGTTTACATAAAGATATGGGGAGGTTCAAACGTGCTGTGATTAAATTAAAGACAAAATATCAGGTCATTTCACCTTTGCTTTTCGGATTCTATGTGAGTATGGGAGCTTAAAGTTGGACTGGAATGAGTAAAATCAACAGAGGTTAGATCCGAATAACGACGGATAGATAAGGAAAAGCTAACTGGGGGATGATTATGGCTTTTAATCGTGCTTGTGTGTGTGTGTGTATTGCCCCTGGCATAAGCAAAGCGAACAAGATTGCAAGTTAGGTTAGTGGTGGAAGGCATTAGCGGAAACGGGACTCTGCTGCCAAATATACTTATACACGCATTTTTCCAAACGCATGCAGGGAATTACTGATCTGAGGAAAGGAATGAGCGAGATTTAATTAAGAAGTCCAAATAGCGAATAAATCTCTTTTCGCTTATTCTCATCAGGCCGTTACAGAAAAATATGTACGACGCGGACAGGTAAGCTAAGAGTTTGAACGGAGTCAGTTAGTCAGATGGATTACTAAGTCGATTCATTTAGCGAAGGCCTTGCGGCCGATTGTAAGCCGTCTACAGTAAGCCACGCAGCCGATAGTAAGCGGTTAGTGTCCGACACCGAAGAACTGCCGCGTGGCTAGGTCAGGAGAAGCACTTGTACAAGGGATCTTTGCTTGCACACCTCGGGCTGGGACAGTCTGATGGAAATAGCTTCAGCTGTCTTCAAGAAATGCCTTCCGAGAGCCTTCGGCTAACGTGATGACACGGAGTAGAAGACCTTAAACTCATCCGATGTACAAATTTGGTGTCCACACAGGATCAAATATTCCATGATATCGCTGGTTATGCTTCCACCTGTGCCATCTCTTAACAACCCTGCTCACTGTTCTGCTACCCGTTTTGACAGACTCATGATTGGGTGCCCTCGGTGGCTTACACCACACGTGCAAGTAAATGGATTCATGAGGTAGGATTGGGACAAGACCGGGAGTCTGTCTTTGGGACGCGGGGTAACAAATGGTGCAGTCTGAGTAATCATATGTGGGTAGGCGGCTGGGTAGGTTTTGGACACTGCGGCTGATGGTCTCATTTTCAATAAGTCCAAGGCAACATCTCCTTTGATTGGCAGCGATAGAAACAATTTCTATTTTGGCAAGGTCGAGGTGATTTCGGAGCGCAGACGAATCGTGGCCTGCTTTCTGATAAACTGAGCGGGGTCTTCGTTATCTTACAATATCCTGATGATACAATGTTTCTCCTCCTCCAGCGTCTCCGCACTACTAAATCTGACGGCACGGTAATGTAAGCAACCCACTAAGTTTCGCTTGAGTTGCAAAGGTACAAAGCTTGAAAAGTGTGTGTATTGTCTAGCATAAGTCGGCTAACGGAAAACGCTCCTCTCCAGAGAGCCGTCATTCCGTCGCATCAGCAACATGTCCACATAGACCAGTCTTCCCTCGCTTTCTATCTCACTGGTGTAATGCAACGCCGGGTGTGCTCTGTTGAATTGAGTTAATAAACGAGAAACGTCTTTGTTTGAATCACAAATAATGC